GTCTTTAGACTTGCCAAGAGACATGTAGAGAGATCTGGAGTCAGCAAACACAACAAATATTGGAAAGAGAGACTAAAGGGATGAATCATATGATGAAATGAGACAATATGGACTGGCAGGGGATGAGGATGGGATTTACTGAGAGAAGACTTAGAACAGAAAGGTGGGGATACTGACATCAGAAGACTGCACAGAGGAGAATGAGACTTTAAAGGTAAAAAAGGCTTGAATGAGGAATCTTAAATAAAAAGAGGGGCAGGGGACAAGTATCTGGAGAGGAAATGGGAGAATGACTTCAAGTAGTCCAGTAGGGATGGTTTAAAAATGGCACATTTGGAGTGAAAGGGTAGAGGAACTCTTTCACATGAAAGAATTCTCCCAGATTTCAGATGGGGTTCAAGACTCCTGAAGTTTCCCCTCCATTTACGTTGTGACATATTTGTTGAAATGGACTGACAACGCGTGCTTCATTCCCCTCTAGTTACTGTAGAGATGCCAATGGCTTTTTATTGATATTAATTTACTGATAGGAGTTCTTACATCAAATGGCTGAGGTTCATGTTGTGGATCTAGATGTTCTCAATGGGCTGTTATCACCATGAGAGTGTATTTAATGTAACATGACAGAAGCTTGCACTGTGACAGTGCATTTTTAGTATTCCTTAATTTTGCAAAGGACATTTTTTCTACAGTTGCAAACATTTGTATAAATTTTCAATATGGGCTCCTGACTCCTATCAACTGCAAGAGCAAAAGACATTTTTATTATAAACTCAGGGACAGCATTCTACTGGGGGGGGAAGTTACTTTAGTAATTTACTCTAATAGAAATATATGGTTATTCTGACTAAATTGCTACTTAAAAAGTCAGGCTGGGTCCTAAGGAGGAGAAGGTCTACTGATTCTGCCCTGGACAGTACACCTGTCAGCATGCCACAAGCAGGAAGCAGAAGTATCCTATTTCTCATCACAAACTTGCCCAGAACACGCTTCAAGCTGTATTCATTCAAAATTTTAATTATACTTAACAGATGATCTGATAAAACATACCAAACAATGGAAAAGTTCACTCTATCTCTGTTACAATGCTTGCCTGTGCAAGAATCACAGCAGCATGCCTCAAAACAATCATAATTCAACTGTTCTTTCAGGTCACAGACAAAATGGCTGTGCTGGCTAGATAAGCAGTTGTTTTTAAAACATATCCTGGGGCAAAGGGAGCCAAGTAGTGCTGTATGGCCTCCTCTCACTCATCCTAGGCCCATGAAATACTTCTTATCAGCAATTTAAAAGAAAGCTTGAGAACCTCAGCAGGTCTACAGCATGAGTTAAAGATCACATTAGCCATGCCTTATGAAGTCAATTTCAACCTCTGTCTAGCATTTTAGCACTGTTAAGAACAAAGATCACCCAGATACCCAAAAGCCAATAGAAGTTATGCCTTTTTAGTTTATTTTTATTTATTTACTTATTAATGACCTAACAGAATTTGGTCAATAATGGCATCAAAACATGTGAAATTCTGTTTTCCTCTATTCCTTCCATAGCCTTTTATGTCAAGCATGATAACTCTACATGTTCTATAGATTACAGCCTGAAAGGACACTGCCCAAAATACTATGCTAGGCTCTTAATGAGATGACTTTGAGTAAGATGAGTAGTACCAGGATCCTACATGAAGTTTCACACCATCCATGTTAGTGGGTCATTTGTGTACAGATGTGTATGTTCTTTACATTTGTGTACAATTAATATTGGAAACCAGTTGAAGGACACTGAAACCGCACGAAAGACAAGAAGATAATCAGGAATAGTCAGCATGGATTTGCCAAGGGGAAGTTGACCACTCTGGTAAGTGATATGATGAAATGACTGGCTGGGTAGATGAGTGGAGAGCAGTGGATATTTTCTACCTTGACTTCAGAAAGACTCTTGACACTGTCTCCCATAAGATCCCCATAGATGAGCCAATAAAGTAATGGTTGGATAAGTAGACAGTGAGGTAGATTAAAAATTGGCTGAATGGACATGCCCTGAGGGTGGCAATCAAAGACACAAAATCTAGTTGGAGGCCTGTAACTAGTGGCATACCCAGGGCTTAATACTGGGTCCAGTCATTAATGACCTGGATGATGGGAAAGAGAGTGGATATATTAAACACAAAAAAAAAATGAACCCACCCAACAAAACCACAGCCAACAAAACACCCCTACCAAATCCCCCAAATAATAAAAAAATCCTTCCAAAAACCTAAAAAGAAACAAACAAAACACCAACACCCTCCATCTCACCCCCCAAAGTCTGACTGCATCACAGGCAAACGTGCTTTCCTTTACAACAGAAATTTAGAGAGTAGATTCATGGATGCAAGTTTTGACACCTTCTCAGTTCTAGCTCTAGAACTCATTTTAAAGTGCTGGAAACAAAAGTAAGAACATGATCTTTTTACACAGGTTTCCATTGTCTACAGAGAAGGTAGGTAGCATCATCAAAAACCCCACTACCAGGGGACAAAAAGCAGTAGACTAGATCTGTACTGACAGTTCTCAGCTGGGGACAGAGGGTGACTAAAACTACCTGTTTATGTCTCCCTTTTTGTTCTTATGCCATCCTGAGCCTGCTATCTCTTGAGCTTTTTAGCTCTTTGTACCTGGGCTGCTCTGCTTCTCTTCCTCCCTCTCACCCACCTCTGCCAAAACAAAAAAACCTTCTCACTATTTTTAGTCTGTGTATATAAGCTGCCTGTGTTGCACTCAGCTGCAAAACTTGCTAGGGAGCTCCACTTCTAACCAAGTTCATATCTCCTCAACTTTCCATTTCCTGGGTTTTCTTTCATTTCCTTGTATTGTTTTCTCTCTTCACTTAGCACTGGTTCATTTGCTTATGCTTTCCTTCACCAGCTCCCACTTTCATGTATCTCTTCAGTTCCCACGTGCTTCTTGGACAGCAGTCATCCTTTGACTCTCCCCCAGATCATCTTTTTCCATTCTCATTCCAGTTCCTAACCAGCTGCCAAAATTTGACCCATGTTTCTCTGGAAAACAAGACAGGTCAAGCTGCTTCCCTTCATCTTAGTTTGGTTCAGCACCAGTCAGTTGGCTGCCACACTGAATGCCCTCAAGTCACCAATAATAAAATTTAAGGTAAAGCTGCAACACTCCTGCAGATGTCTGTGGAGTCTTCCCACCCTTCTCACAACCACCACCTTTGGTTAGGTAAATCACTGCAGCATTGCTAAGGTAACCTGCAGAGAAAAGAATCCTGACAAACACGTAAAACGGGCTCCTCTGTAACGTGCTTCCAGTCACACGGCCCTCTCCTAAGACCAAGCAAAGAACATGCACAGCCTGAGGTAGCTGGTTCCCCACTGTCATCATTTGGGAAGGAGCTCCTCGGAAGCCCTCAGATCCTCAACACCTAAGAAAAGGCCCACTGCCAACCACACCCTCTCTCAAAGAGGCTGTCTATTGCCACACAAAGCTTTCAACATGCATTATTTATTAGTTGCTGTAGGAAATTGGTTACTTCACAGGTAGATTTCTCCAGTTTTTATAACTTCAAGAGTATTTGCCATATTTACATCTACTGTAGTGATGCTTAATGTATTTCCAGCAAGCACTTGTTGGCCTTTCTACTCGTAAAGGGAAAATCTGTTTCAAGACTTTAATGATAAGTTTCTAGTTTCTCAAGTTGTACAGTTTACTGCATAGGAGGAGGAGTGAAAGTTAAGGTTCCCAAAACCACAGAGGTCATGCCTAGTGATCAGTGACTATGCATGGAAGCTGCTTCTGTAGCATATGACAATCTTAAACACTCCAAAATGAAACTTAGGCAACAGCTGAATGTAGAGAAACAGCAGCAGCTACAGAAACCAATAAAATTTTGCAGAAAAAGTAATCTTTGTGAGAACCCTAGGGGGTGGGGGTGTTTAATCATGATGTGCATTGGCGTCATCAAAGCCTTAGTGTTTTTTTTCTGTCTCATTGCTTGGAGGACCAAGCAGACTGGAACTGTGGGTGAGGAGGGTGTCTTCAACTGACTGATACTTCCTTTTGCAGATGACCTCATACAGCTACTTAAAGCTATATATATTCTACAAACAGCGCATTAAACATGCACTTCCCAGGAAATCCTTCTTTGCAGATAGTCATACACATGTGAGTTAAGTATGCAGACTACAAACAATAGCAAAGGGACTTAACAGTCATTGTCAAAACCACAAAAGAATGTGATTCTGATGGCACAGTCACAAGTACACAGAGTGAGCAGAACAATCCACAGAAAAGGCTCATCCATATTTTTCCCTGTACCAGAAAGGGGAAATGAACAATACTGTTCATCTGAGGATTGGCTAAAAACTTCACTGCTGCTAATGAATGCTACATGCATTTATTAGAATCACTCAGAATTAGTGTTAAAGAAAAGGTAATTCCTTCATGTAACAGCCAAGCAATAGGATTTTCCAGCAAATACACATGCCATATTCAATACTGCAGGCTAATGGCATGAAGTGAAGAGACTGCAGATGTGAACTGCATGAAATGGAAGGAAAAAGGCAGGAAAGAACTTGCAGGACTAGGATTTGGTAGGGAGAAAGAAATCAATAAGTGAGACCTTTCAAAGAAAGCATTTAAAGGGGCAAGCAAGCTGTCTGCTGTTTGATTCTTGCTATACATTCTAGGAAACAGAGCATTGCATTTTTTTTTTTTGTAAATAAACATTACCACAAAGAGTTTCCCACTCTTTGTTCACTCCTGCCAACTGCAGAAGGGTTTTTTTCCTTCCTATTATTTCTTAATGAACACACAGTAGCATCTTAGATTTATCTAATCAAATAAAAACTAGAAACATGCAAGAATAATGACTTTACACTAATTTATAAAGACTAGCAAATGCCAATTCCATTGTCATGTCCATCTGTCCTGCTGTGAAATCAATGTTAAAAAAAAAAAAAAAGGGCATTATGGAACAATTAACACTATCCTAACCAAGACTCCTACCTTCACAATACTTTTTAGATCTTGCACATACATCCTCTCTGTCTCCAGAATCTCTTGGACGACTCTGTCTACATAGAGGAGCTTGGGACTGGTGGGCTCTGTGACAAGGGACATTGCACAGTTTTTGCTTGCTCCTTTCGGTTCTGCTTTCCTTGGCATGCTTAGCCTTTTTTCAAGGCTTTCTTCAGGATCCTCTTGCTCCACATGGGAGTTTTTGTGTGGTTTGTTGCTGGAAAATCGCATGGCTGGGACCAGTTCTAGTTTGATGGCACCTGTTTCTTTATCTGGGTTGAACAAACCCAAGTGGCTGTTTGAAACCAAGGTCGTTCTGCTCCCAAAGGAGCAGTGGCTGTCCCTGGAGGAAGCAGAGGAAGAAGTGGAGCTAAAGCTGACGGGACGGTCACTGTCTGACAGGTCCATGGTTTTTTTTTCGCAGTAGCGGTAAGGTCTGCTCTCCTTGTGCAAATCTTCCCCTTTCGTCTTGGAGTCAAGGGTGTCTGTCACAGCTGGTAAAACATCAAGAGGTAAGTGGAAGTCATCTGAAAAAAAAAAAAAAAAAAAAAAAAAAAAAAAAAAAAAAACAGAAGAAGTGAGTTTATTGTTGTTGGTCCACATAATACAAAAATTGTCAACAAATACTTTTAAAGCTTTTTGCACACAGAACTGTCACAACTCTATTTTAACTAAAAGACAACCAGAACAATGTGATTTGGTGGTCACTGTGGCTCTAATGCTTTTTAGGTGGTGAGGATCCCCCACTGGAGGCTACTGCATAGGCACTGCATACCTCCTGCTCACATACATGTCTCCAGCATGTCCTTCTTGTGCCAGTGTGCTGGGCTTGGTGCTAGCACATGCACTGTGCAGGCTCAGCACAGGAGAGAAGTAAACCACTAAGATTTATCCATAAGGTCAAAAAAAATCCTATGTCAGGAACAGTCTCTGCTATCTTCAAGTTGAGCACTGACCCTGATTTGGAGGCTTTAAGAAACTCAAGAATCACACAGTGATACCAGACAGTATCTTTCGTTTTGAATACTGTAAGGTCAATAGTCAAAAACTAAAAGCAGTTATCAGTTCCCAGCTCTGTGGCTTGTACAAAAACACTAAAACCAGAATGATTTCTCAACGAAAATAATGTAGCTCCTGAAAAAAAGTACACAGAGGAACGAGTGCTGCCGAATAGTTCGTTTTCTACTGGGAAAATAGTCTAAAACTGTTCAGTTTAAGTCAGAATATCAGCCTCTGCTGAACTGATCCAAAGCTGTTTTTCAAATCAGTGCAACAACAAAATAAGACGTGTGCCTTCCTGTCATCGTTTCAATTCTACTTTCTTTTTGTTGCCATAATGCTCTGCAGGACGCTGTTCACAACACAACACAGATTTCTCTCTGGCCAAGTTGTGTGTGATGCACCAGGAGAATCTGCAAAAACAGCTGCAGGTAAATTCAATACTTCAAGGGTTTTTTTCATTAAAAATTGTCCATCCAAAAAAATCTCACCTCCAACTCAAAGCATTTCAGAATGTCTGTCCTGTGAAAAAGGGAAACCTGTGACAATTTAGGAGGAAAGTAATACTGAAGCTACACACACAGCAGCAGCTCAGTTCTTATTTTACTCCAGTGACAACCTCATTTTTCAAAAATCATACTGGCAATTACAGCTCTAAGCAGCAGTTTCAGTAAAGAAACCATAAAGCCAGTAAGCTGCACATGAAACCCGCCCAACCTTTAAGGTGGCCCTTCTTAAACTGAGCCAGACTTGCTATGCAATTACAAGCAGAAACATTCAAAGCAAAAAGCCACTGTCTCATTTTTCAAAATCAAACACTAGTATTTAAAAGTAAAATTTAAAAAAAAATCAATCCAAACCAAACAAAAATAATAGGCTACAAAAGAACATTTGATTTATTTGGTCTGTCTTGAATGCAAAAGATATTATTTGTACATGAGTAATTTATACTGCCATTTCAGTGATGATGGTATTAGCTTTCAGTTAAAGAGAAGTATTGTCCTGAAGGTAACACATGGGATTAACACCAAGTGTAATTTGCTCATTACATGGGTCAGAAATTTGCCATTAGTTTAAAAACCTAAGCTGGCACCTCTGGACCCCTGGATTTACCTTGAAGTTTGATAATCTATAGCCTTTCTTTGTGCCAACTTCTACGGGTTTTACAGCAATGTATTTTCTAACCCTTCCTGAATAAACCACATCAAGTACAAACTCCAAAAGAAAATATAAAGCAATAAACTGGGAAAATATTTAAAACTGAAGAATGCAGTGAAGTTCTCTCGTTTCTAAAGCAGTATAGACAAAGATGTTTGCCTTCCTATTGCTTGTGATAAGAAAGTATGTGTTTTTGATAAGGAAGAATGTATTTTTGTTATCAGCTTTGGATAATTTTTCATATTCAGTTAGAAAGTACAATGTTGCTGTGCAGATGTAAACCCCTTGAAAAATGCACAGGATACACAAGATAACAGAGATACCCTTCCACTAACTTACTCCACGTTATTTTACTAAAATTACATGACAAAGAAACACCTGATTAGTCACACTTAGTGGGGAAATAAAGGGTCCCTGTGGCATTCCATTACCCCATGCTCTTTTCTTCCTGTTTCACTGATACGCGCTCTGCCTCTCAGATCACCTGAAGGCATTACTATATCGTATTTGCTTCACAAACATTGCCAGGCTCATTAATACAAAAAAATAATAATAAAACCAAAAACACAAAAGCAAACAGCACTGTTCACGTAAATGAAATTTGAGTCAGAATAAATGTTAAAAAGTAGTTTTTTCATAAGACATACTTGTAGCCAGAACTACTGGGAGATCTTAACGTGTCTTAGAAAAACAAACAAAAAATCCCTTATTTTCTTGTTTAATGACAATGTCATTGCTTATTAAAAATTAACAAGGAGTAGTTGTAACAGTTAAAATGGGTTCTTTAACACCTGTATTCCTAACCCAAGCACATGCTAGCCATGGCTAATTAACTGCATGCAACACAATTGGCTCAAGCTCCTCCATTTTTTATATCAATTTATATTCCTGTATGCTTCTACATAAGTTACACCAAGTAAACTATTTGCTACTTCAAAATCTTGGTCTGTTTAGTTCTTAAAGCCTCATCCTGACCGCTAGCATCAAAAGTTACTTTTTACTTCATTCTTACTCCTTTCTCAGCCAGGTGTAAATTCATCATTTGGCTTCTCTGAGGAGAGTTTTTGCTAAAATTTGCCCATTACATCTCTGACCAGTGAAACAAGTTTCTTGGGGTCCACAGAGAAGGCCTCAAAGCCCAGCGCTCCTGCAGAGCAGCAAGTAGGCTCCTCAGCAGCTGGTGAACCCAGCAGAAAGGCAGGACACACAGGACTGGGGATTTCAGCACGGCACAAAACCAGGAAACAGTTTCCTCTCCTTAGCTGGCAAGTCCTGTACCAAACACTGTGAACCCTGCCCATGGAAATCAGGAGACAAGCCCTGGCTCTACCCAGCTGCAACTTCTACCTCAGCTACAGAGAGCTGTTACAAACCCACAGCCTTTCCCAATAACACAGGATTTGTAAAGCTCTCAAGGCTTCACAGGTCTATCTTCAGGAACCCCTCTGAGACTAGGTAGCATTACTTCCACTGTTGAAATCAGGAACAGGTACTTTAGATGATTTGTGCACTCACAAATAGATCAGAATAGGCAGCAGCTGAATCTAGTTCATTGCCACAGCCATGTGCCCATCCTCTGTTCTCATGTCTGGGTCCGCATTTGGCTTTTCAGAGCTCTGGCACAGTTCTACCACAAAGTAACTTCAATCTTGCGCCAGCGACCTAGGGTCTGTGCCGACCACCCAGTGAAAAATTCACAAGTGAGTTAACGAGAGTGCGGGAGAGACGAAGCAGCCTCCCCCAAGACTGCTCCCTATGTATCACAATGAACCGGCTGCCTTTGCAAACCCTGTAACCTCTTACAAATTTTTCTCTTTGACAAACTTACTATAAAAAGCAAGTTCATTTCTCCCATACCCTGTAGTACTGCTTTACAAGACCCTTCCCTCCCCAGCCACCAGTTTCAGCAGCAGCACCGCCAAGTCAGTGCATTCACCACATCTCAGGCTGAAACTGTGGGTACCCCAGCCCCCTGCAGAAGCATACGCCCTCAGCAAGTCTTGTATGCCCTGACCCACGTCTAGCCTGGTTCACTGCTTTTTTTGTTAGGTGTTCCTTTGTTTACTGAACCTTTTCAATGACCAACCAAGATAATATTGAGAACTTTTGTGCATTGTGAATAACGGTATTTAACTCCGTCTGGGGATAACAAAAAAACTGAAATCTTCAATTTGCATACTTTAATTAAGGAGTAACAGTAATTACTTGTTAGTGCAGCACTGAAAGGAGGATAATTACTACTTGTCCCTACTCACAAGGAAACACGCTCCCCGAACAAGGTCATTTCTTGTTTGTGCCTCTGCATGAATTCAGTTAGCCTCTCCCCCTCCCCAGCCTTTGCAGGCCTCCCTGCTCCCCCATCACACACACACACTGGCATGGAACCACCCCAGAACGCTCCCCAGCGAGAACACGTTACATGCCCCTACTCTACAGAAGCAGAAGGGAAGAAACACCCATGTTTCACCCCAACAGGCAACTGTGATACTCGTTACAACACTGAACACACAGGCAAAGCAACCGTCTCAGCATACCTCATGTTTTCAGCCTGCAGTCACAGACAAGTCCTCATCAGAAATGCATACATTTCTTCTTTCACTTACTTTTCTTTAACAAATAACTCCTTCCTGTAAATATATTCATGGTAATGATAAATGGTTTTCCATTATCTCTGCAGCTTTGGCTACTCTGGAGCATTAGCATACAATGAGAGATAAAATGGTTTAAGTAAATTTTCTATTTAAGATCCTCAAGTCCTATCTAAATATAAGCGTTTATTCCTCCAAGTTGTTTACTGCACATGACATTTTAAGAGATACTGCATGACTAAAAACTCACAAGCCAATTTATATTCATAGTAAGTATTGTTCCTGCCTCTCCCCTGGCATGAAAAAGAGCACCTCAGATATTATCTACAACGTCAAGATTACCAGAAATTACAGGCTTCACATCCTCTGGAAGTCAAGCTACATAAAAGTGATGAGACTACAAGAATGTTTTCCTTTATTTTCCTTGAGATATTTTCACATTTCAAACAAAGCATTTATACTGTAAATACAGTTAAGCAAGACACACAAGTAAGAACAATTTCTACATTCAGTATCAAATTCAAATGCAGCACTGGAATTGAGAAAAATAAATGTCATACAGCTGCCTGACTGAGAAAGATTAAAACACATTCACTGCAAGAATCCCAACATGATCCTAAATACATTCCTCATATCCCCCGCTCTGAATATTGCTCAAGTGAAGGTCAGCAGAATTTTCATTATAAATTCTGCATGTGAACACACACAATTTCTAAAACTAACACCCTCTGTGAACAAAATCCTACTGGACAGCTAGAATATTTGCAGAACTAGATCTCTAG